CACACACACACACACACACACACACACACACACACACACACACACACACACACACACGCACACGCACACAGACGTATACACACGCGCGCGGACACGCACACACCCACAAACGTATACACACGCACGCGGACACGCACACACCCACATACGTATACACACGCGCGCGGACACGCACACACGCGCGCGGACACGCACACACCCACATACGTATACACACGCGCGCGGACACGCACGCACACACACCCACAGACCACACACACACACACACACACACGCGCGCGGACACGCACACACACACACACACACACACACCTGCACGCACGCGCACACACACACACACGCACATCTATACATATATATAGGTACGTGCGCGCGGAAACGCACTGCGAGCGCATATGGAGTGGCCTTGATCATGCAGCCAGAGAACTAATGGTCGTACGGGCTGGGCTGAGTAACAGTGTCGTAACACTGAAGCTGATTTATATCCATCATTACATGTAGATTTTAATATGTATACGTTGTTATTTCTATGATGTTTTGCAAGTTGCTGCCTCCTCCCATAACAAAGATTTCGTTTATCTGTAGATTTCAATTGTTATATATACAGGGATGAGATTGGAGAATTTCATTTTCAGCTGAAATTGAAATTAGCTACGGTCCCGAGGCCGCAAGCCACGGCGGGTCCAGGGTAGAGCCCTGGTCAGGTGGTTTCAGGGGGGCTTTGCCCCCCTGAAGCCCCTGCATTCTGGGCATATTAAAACACTGAGATCTCATTAAAATTACTATGATAACTAATATTATTGCTATTTTAATCTAGCCTAAAGCTACACCAACGTCTACTATTGTTGTTATAAAAAGTATTTCATCACAAGATAATTTTTTTCTAAACCCGACTTACTATTATTATTTTATACAAATGTTCCCAACTCAAGGAAGCATCATCATGCCAACCTTGGTCGACGAAAATAATAATATTATTATTATAATATACCTCATTAAATGAACCGAATAAGACCTCAAATAAGACCCATAAGTTACATCATGGCTACTACGGACTATTTGTTAGCTATTATGTCATAACTGTTTTGAGTAAAACTTGACTTCATAAGTTGAAAATAAACGTGACGCTCGCTGAACAAATGAAACTAACATGTCAGTTTGCATTCAGTACCTATTTGCATACTAGCTTGTGTGCTTGTTAACTGGCACGCTGGTGCCATCTTTCTAACATTAAGAAAAAATTTAAGTGTCTATTTATAGTAATAATTTGAGGTAATTATGATGGAAATTATATTCTAGCAAATTTCTTATATTTAATGAGTTTCGTTGAACCATGGCAGTGCTAAAAAAGTAATGCGCAAACGCACCCGGCAGTTAGATGCGATATGATATGACTACTAGGCACTTAGGATATGACTACTAGGCACTTAGGATATGACTACTAGGCACTTAAAAAAAACAAAAAAAACCTAACACTAACCCTAACCTAACCTAAACCCTAAACCTAACCCTAAAAAAAAAATATTAAATTAAATTAAAGTGCCTAGTAGTCATATCATATCGCATCTAACTGCCGGTTGCTGCGCAAACCGGCTAGTTAACCACTTTTAGCGCCATCTGTTGTGGAAAATTGCCAGTATTGTGGGAGAATGAATGACAATGCATAATGGAGCATTGGTGGGATGCAGATGCCAACCTCTGATGCACGCACACGCTGAACGGAAAGAAAGCATACATAATCAACATGATTACTTATCTATAAATTTTATTTTTTGTTTAACAACATTAAATTATTTATATCGGATTAGTAATCATCTCACATGAATGTGCACAACTGCATTCAGTAAGCTCTGTTGCATTTCAATGCCCAACTATTTCACTGATGTTATCAAAGTATATATTATAAAAGCTTTAGCTTTGAACTTGATAGTGAACATTTAATCCAAATCAAGGCTTGGAGAACACAAATTTTATATGTAGCAAGAAAAGAAGAGACTACATGATATGAAATGCTCTAGCTGTTATCAGTAGTAGCTATTGAACCGGAGTTCTGTCTGCTGCTGAACATGTAGTTAATAGTGCTTCTTTCAGCAAGTGTAACTTGTGGATGCCATAAATCTGCGATGAGCACAGCTCTGGTGCATGTCAGATCTAAACTGCCTGCAACCAAACAAATTAAACATGTCGTGATCATAATACACATGTGCTGTCACGCAAAACAAAACATAATTTTGCTCGTTATATTATAATTAGGTAGCGTCTTAGGAACTTGCCTTTATTCGAGGATACACTCAAGCTTTTGCACGGGTATTGCTCTAATGAGGAGTAAACGATTATGTCAATAATGTCATGAAAATGTAATAAAAAAATAAATGTCAATGAGGTACTATTAAGAATTAGTTTCTAAAAGTTTAGAATGATTACATGTATATTATTCTAGTTTTGACCTGGTGATAGGAACAGGGCTAGTGGCATCTGGCATAATTATATGAGCATGTAAAATTTTACTTGTCTTTCTAGTAATGGAGAAACACAAGGTTACCTTAGGGATAAAGGAGTTCCCCCTACCTAATATGGTATGATAACTGATTTCATTGTAGCAAGCACATTTTATATTTTTAATTACACGACTACAAGAGATTATGAAGTGATTTCAAGGTTATACTATGAGGTACATCGTATAAATTTACAACCCTGTACCTGTATGCTTTACACTGTGTATAAAAGAATCATCAAAGACAAGTGTCTCTCCTTCCACCCACTCAGTTGGAATGTAATTCACAGTCAGTTGGACGCAACCATAGGGTACCTGTAAACCTACAAAAGAAAAACAGATTAACATGAGAAATGTTATGGCTGAATACATAGTAACCTCTGTACTTCCTTGGGAAAATATCATTATCACAAGCATAATACAAGAATAAAATATACAAACAGGACGAGGACATACGTAAAATAGGATTACTCAATATATGTTAAACAGCAATTTCAACAGATAGCATACACAAAAGCAATCACTGAAAAGCCATTCTAAAAGATTTATACAACGTTAGTTATCTCTGCAAGTCATACCAAGATGAATACGCAGTCTGATATTTGTGGGGCCACAGTGCTCCTCAATACTGGTTCCGGGATCCAAGACCGAAAAGAATACATTGCCAAACACATTTTCTGTCATAATGCTCTCTAAACTTCGCAGAATACGAAGTGTCTGTGGGCACCTGCTGGAGTTATCTTCAACTACTTTCCCCTGATTTATAAGATGGAATACGTGCCATGACCCCGTGGGCACTCTATTTGTTGTCCAGCCACAATCAAACTCTTCAACTCTTTGAAATTCACTGAGAATTTCTGCGAAATTTTTCCTCAAAATGTTCTGTTCACTCATATACATATCACTATGCCATGGTTTGGCAGTTAGACCTTGCAGGTACAGTACATGAGGTTGCTGAGTGCTACCACTCAGTTTCCACTCTCTAGTCACTTTTTCGCGAAATCTTGACGAGACTGACGTGCACAATCGTTCAATGTTTTCGGCTTCTGACGGGGATTGTATAAGGAACGCATTAAGTTTAATCTGAACGGATTTGAGAAGAGTTTCGTAAGCACTGCATCTCACACAATCCATTGATGAACACAAGTCAGTTTTGCCACTTTTGGCAGCATTTGCAACTTTGTTTTTGTTTACCGTTTTTAACAGTAATATTATCGCTAACACCAACACAATTATAGCACCTAAAATAATAAATTGCATTATGTACAGAGTACTTTGTATAAAATTGACCGCTTGACAGATTAAATACGTAAATGATGCACATAAACATAAGCTGTACTTGATTTTACGTAACAACAGGGCGCAGACATGTTTCACACAACACAAGAACGTATGATTGTTAGATGGGAGCCAACCAAATAGTTAGCCCGTTTTAGTTAAAGCAGTACCGTAATAACAGGAAAGAAGGGTTAATTGGTTCATCTATTACAAGCAAACGAAGAAATCGTGAGATCACGCGTAAACAACAAGCCGGTAACATGGTGTGTTGATTTCGTTTATGTCGAGTTGGAAATTAGTTTATGGTGTAATTATATTTATTATTTAATACTTAACGTCTTCTGTCAAGAAACCAATTATGTTCGAACTATGACATACCTTCTATCTTTGCAATGTTCACTTGCGTTAAAATACATTTTGTACACAATGTTTGCAACGAGTGCAGAGTGGCGGATTCGCGGCTACTGCTAGGGCCTGCATACCGCCCATTCCCAACTCCCATTGGTTGATACAAATATAGTTAATTTTTTAAATTAAATTGTGATTAGTGTTAGGGTTAGGGTCACAATGCACCATAAAAGTTTTATTAAAACAGGAGTTTCAGGCACGTGATTTGTATCAACCAATGGCATTTGGGAGGTATACAGGCTCTAGCTGCGAGTGATTGGCGGGTGATACTCGATTACTCCATTACTCACCTGGACGTGGATATTCGTCCGAGCATCGGACACCTGTTCGTATGCGGTATTCGTCCGAGCAGTTGTTGCGCATGCGCTGTTCATGTTGTATTACATAAATGTAATATAACGCTAGTCTAGGGATGCGCCTACCCCTAACCACGCCTACTCTCTAACCCTAACCCTAATCCTAACCCCAACCCTAACCCTAACCCTAATCCTAACCCCAACCCTAACCCTAACACTAACACTAAATATTAACTGACTCGGTTCGCTTATATATAGGCGAGTGATAGTACCAAACACTATCTATGGTGTATAACCACATACGCAACGCATGTATGCAGGGGCGTCAGAGCCGTAGGGCTGCCGTAGCAAAACGTTGCGGGCCCCCAGCCTAAAGGGCAAAAAATCATAAATCTAAAGGGTAAATAGCATTTTAGAGCGTCTAGATTTAAAAATTGTCTTGGGGGAGACCCCACAGACCCCCACTTCACACTTCCTATATCCGGCACTAGAGGCCGTGCGCCTGCGGCATGCTACATGAACAGCGCATGCGCAACAACTGCTCGGACGAATAGCGCATACGAACAGGCGTCCGATGCTCGGACGAATATCCACGTCGTACTCATTTACTGGCATTAGGCATTAGCCATTACTCCCCCCCCCATTAGGCATTACTGCCATTAGTCATTACTCATTAGGAGTGTTCCCAACTAACTTTCATGTCATTAATGGTCATAATAACATGATGATATATATATATATATGGTCATATATTAGTTTGTGGTTTAATGTCATTTAGGTTAGGGTTAGGGCACAGGCACTTGAAACGTCTCAATAAAAAAAATTAATGGTAGGCCCTAAATAAACACGAAATGTACCAAGGTCTTAATGTTTCTCTACTCTATTTCGCCTAATGCCAGTCAAATGCTCATCTGCAACACACAACACAAGTACACCGCACGCCCGCCCTGCGGCTCACAAACAACATTAATAAGAGAGCAGGTAGGAAAGCTTGATAGAAAAATTCGTTCGACGCTCGCTTCATTCCATACGATCACAGAACGAAAACACATCCAACAGCTTCCATCTTGGTATCTATGTGTAGTACATAAATTTTCACTTGTTCGAAATATAACTCTGGCCTTTGTTCTTACATACTCCCGCCAGAGATATCTCGTGAAATCCTGCTGGAAATGTTCTCTCCGTGAAAATGTAAAGAGGACGTATCATCCGAAAATCCCTAACGGCACTACTTTCGATTGATCGCTGTAGTCGTGTGTGTGTGATGTCATGCCCACGCGCATTGTGCTTGGCTTGGCGGGCATCGAAACGGAGCTCGGAGGCCGGCAGCAGCTCATCCCGGCATGCAATGCGCCCTATTACTCGTGTATAAACAGACACCTCGTCCTCTTTACATTTTCACGGCGAGAACATTTCCTGCAGGATTTCACGAGATATCTCTGGCGGGAGTACGTAGGTAAGAACAAAGGCCAGAGTTATAATTCGAACAAGTGAACATTTATGTACACGTAGATACCAAGATGGAAGCTGTTGGATGTGTTTTCGTTCTGTGATCGTATGAAATGAAGCGAGCGTCGAACGAATTTTTTGATCAAGCTTTTCTACCTGCTCTCTTATTCATGTTGGTTGTGCGCCGCAGGGCGGGCGTGCGGTGTACTTGTGTTGTGTGTTGCAGATGAGCATTTGACCGGCATTAGTCGAAATAGAGTAGAGAAACATTAAGACTTTGGTACATTTCGTGTTTATTTACCATTAATTTTTTTTATTGAGACGTTCCAAGTGCCTGTGGTTAGGGTTAGGGTTAGGATTATCAATCATTAATCATTAATCATTAATGATATCAAAGTTGGGAACACTCCTAATGAGTAATGGAGTGTTAACCAGATTTGCGGATTGGTTTGTAAACACACTAGGTTGAACATTTACATTCATACAAAGATTCAAGATTCAAAAAAATTTATTTGTGCATAAGACCCTCAGGTCATCAAAGTCTGCCACCCCTAAAAAAAAAGAAGTAGTTAGTACATAAACGGGCAGCTGAATCATGACATATGACTATGAGTTAATAAAGCTAGTAATTATATTTAGCTGTATTTATATTTATATTTTACATATAAAGCTGATAAGATCTATTTAGGTATACAAGAATCGACAATTATAACACCTCGTTGGTGTACGTAGGATGCAAGGTTCAAGTTGATTTTTATTTGTGGATTAAACGTATTTATACAGTGTGAATAAGATGAACTAAAGAGTACATACTCATATGTACAGCACAAATTCATAAACATAGTTACAAAGTTCATAAATTAGAATGTACAACATATAAATAACATATAACAAACTTATACAATACTGGGTTATAATACTACAACTTATACATTATTAAAGTACAGCAGACAATAAGTACAAGGTATTTACATATATAGTTGTAATAAGCTATTTCTAAGAAAAATATTTGAATTTTGGGAAGGGTAAACTTTTTATATATACAGGTATGTTCAGGTATGATGCTCCAGAGTTTAACAACATAAACTTAAAGGCATAATTGGTCCATTGATTATGCAATGTTAACGAATGCTAGAGTAACTGGCACCTTGTGTAGTTAATAAGTACATTACCTTATAGCCAAACGCGTATTAGTTTGTCCAATATCACTGCTAATTACTAAGAAATGTCTAATTCAGTATAGTCAAAGAAATCAGTT